AACAGGTCCTTTTCTCCGAGAGTGCAACCTTTTAGGCTGTGAGTCTGAAAGAAGCTTCTCGAACAGTCGAGATAAATTGCCATCGTGTTTTTACAGTGGATCCTGGAGGATGATTGCACTTAGAAAGCGTGAGGAGACCCACTTAAGATGCTTAGAATTGAGTGGCCTACTCTCTCATGACACTGAATTCCTTTTGTGTTAATGTCGAACAAGGCCAAACCTAGTTGCTATTTACCGGAGTAAAGCCTTGCCATTGGCTGATGTTTTCAAAATATCTGTTCAGAAACAGCAGGTAGTAGTTGTAAGATTATGTCTCAAGATAACATGCTTTCATTTCTTCTCTTTAGACAAGTAAAGAAATATTTGTTGTAATTTCTGTTTCCTTCGCAAGAAACTTCTTAACATCACATTTTTTTCTGGAAATTTGATATTGCAATTCATTTTCCACTACTCAAAATTGCTAATGTGTTTTCTTCAAAAGATTTCCCCCCACTTCTCAGAAATAATTAACAAGAGCTGTCCTCCAGTGATATTAAACTGAGGCTTGCAAGTCCAACACAGACTGAGAGCAAGATTTTGCATTTTGTGTTGGGACCCCCGTGTCAGGGGCCTGACTCTACACTGTGTGAGGAGTCGTCACCTGACATCATTTCATATCTGTATTTGAGGGTGCACGTTGGCACAGTGGTTAGCACTGATGCCTCACAGCGCCAGGGACCCGGGTTCGATTCCAGCCTCGGATGACTGTCTGTGTGGAGTTTGCACGTTCTCCCCATGTCTGCGTGGGTTTCCTCCAGGTGCTCTGGTTTCCTCCCACAGTCCAAAGATGTACAGGCTAGGTGGATTGGCCATGCTAAATTGCCCGTAGTGTTCAGGGAGGTGTAGATTAGGTGGGTTATAGGGGGATGGGTCTGGGTGGGATGCTCCAAGAGTCAGTGTGGACTTGTTGGGCCGAAGGGCCTGTTTTCACACTGTAGGGATTCTATGATTGGCCACATGATGAGGTCTCTGTCCAATTAATGATGGTGGGCAGGCTCTCAAAGCCAGAGGGCCAACAGGAGGCCCTTCAGTAGATAGAATTATAGAATCCCTACAGTGAGCAAGCAGACCATTTGGCCCATTGAGTTTACATTGACCCTCAGAAGGTCAGCCCATCCAGGCCTAGCCCCCCATCTTATCCCCATAGCCTGCATTTCCTATGGCTAATCTACCATACTGCACATCCCTGGAAACTATGGGGGCAATTTAGCACAGCCAATCCACTTAACATGTGCATTGTTGGACTGTGGGAGGAAACCAGAGCACCCGGAGGAAACCCATGCAGACACGGGGAGAATGTGCAAACTCCACACAGACAGTCGCCCGAGGGTGGAATTGACTCTGGCGCTGTGAGGCAGCAGTGCTAACCACTGAGCCACCGTGCCACCCCTATTGAAGGTGTTGCAGCCTAGTGATGCAGGTGAGCAGGAGAGAATGCTTCCCACCTTTGGAGCTGGCTTATCCTCTCTGCACATTTGAAGCTATTGAGCTAAAAGAAAAGGCCCCAGCTGCCAGGATGCCTTTGTCAGGGGATGGGGTCAGGGCCTCAAATACACTCTGGATCAGTCCCCCCCTCAGTCTGTCATAGCTTCAAAGAGCCCACGTGTCCCAACCCACTCACATTTTGGGTCCAAAACACAACCCATGACACTGTGAGAAGACTCTAACCCCTTAGCAAATTGGCTGTACAATGGTTCCATAATCTGTATCCTGCCAACAAAGAAAATTTATTCGTCAAACTTATTGTTGGTTCTTAATCCTCACCTTGGAGTGATATAAATCCATTGGAAGATAGTCAGTGTTACTAGCTACAGACCATAGACCATAGAGTCATAGCGCACGGAAACAGACCCTTCGGTCCAACCAGTCCATGCTGAATATAATCCAAAACTAAGCTAGTCCCACCTGCCTGCTCCTGGCCTAAATCCCTCCAACTAGTAAGTTTGCAGATGACACTAAAATCGGAAGTATAGTGGACAACAAAGAAGTTTATCTCAGACAAAAATGGGATATCGATCAGATGGCCCAACGGGCTGAGGATTGGCAGATGGAGTTTAATTTAGATAAATGTGAGGTGCTGCATTTTGGAAAGGCAAATCAGGGCAGGACTTATACACTTAATGGTAAGGTCCTGAGGAGTGTTGTTGAACAAAGAGACCTTGGGGTGCAGGTTCATAGTCCCTTGAAAGTAGAGTCGCAGGTAGACAGGATAGTGAAGAAGGCATTTTGTATGCTTGCCTTAATTGGACAATGCATCGATAATATAGGAGTTAGGAGGTCTTGTTGTGGCTGTACAGGACATTGGTTAGGCCACTTTTTGAATACTGCATCCAATTCTGGTCTCCCTGCTATAGAAAGGATGCTGTTAAACTTGAAAAGGTTCAGAAGAGATTTACAAGGATGTTGCCAGGGTTGGAGGGTTTGAGCTATAGCGAGAGGCTGAATAGGCTGGGGCTATTTTCCCTGGAATGTCAGAGGCTGAGGGGTGACCTTACAGAGGTTCACAAAATCACGAGGGGCATGGATAGAGCAAATAGGCAAGGTCTTTTGCCTGGACTTGGAGAGTTAAAAACTAGAGGACATTGGTTTAAGGTGTGAGGGGAAAGATTTAAAAGGGACCGAAGGGGCAACTTTTTCTTGCAGAGGGTGGTGCATATTTGGAATGAGCTGCCAGAGGTAGTGGTGGAGGCTGGTACAATTACAGCATTTAAAAGGCATCTGGATGGATATATGAATAGGAAGGGTTTAGAGGGATATGGGCCAAATGCTGGCAAAAGGGACTAGATTTATTTAGTATATCTTTTTGGCATGGACAAGTTGGACTGAAGGATCTGTTTCCATTCTGTATATCTCTATGACTCGATGACTGTATTCATGTACTTATCCACTTTAAACATTGTAATTGTACCCACATTCACTTCCTCAGAAAATTCATTCTGCTTTTGACCCACCCTCTGTGTAAAAAATTTGTCCCTCATGTTGTTTTTAAATCTCTCTCCTCTCGCCTTAAAAATGTGCCCCCTAGTCTTGAAATCCCCCGTCCTAGGAAAAAGACGACAACCATTAACTCTATCTATACCCCTCCTGATTTTATAAACTTCTATAAAGTTGCCTCTCACCCTCCTACACTCCAGTGAAGAAGTCCCAGGCTATCCAACCTTTCTCAAATCTTCCATACGTGGCAATATCCTGGTAAATCTCTTCTAATCCCTCTCTATCTTAATGATATCCTTCCTATAACTGGGCGCAGGTCCTAAACATCCTTGTTCCCAGAAATATTTAGATTATTTTTTCATGAAAGAGGTAGATATAGCTCTTGTGGCTAAAGGGATCAAGGGATATGGGAGGGGGGGGGGGGGGAATGGGCAGGATTAAGGTACTGAGCTTGATGATCAGCCACAATCATATTAAATAGTGGAACAGGTTTAAGGGGCTGTATGGCCTACTCCTGCTCTGATCTTCTATGTTTCTAAAACAACAAAATCGCAGAATAAAACTTATTCGCAAAGTACGCTAGAGCAGAATTAAATCCTCTGAATTAACCACTCTCACCATATAAAAATCCTCATTTAAGAATACTAGCAAGGTTTAAGGTCCTGAGGCACAAAGACTGAGTATGCAGCTTTTATAATGATTGCTTATTAACATTATACGATAAGAATATGCCTTGGATTACATTATAATAAGATTTACAATATTGTAAAGTTTGAAATCATTACAATAGTCAATTCCGTCAGAAATAAATGTAGGATATTCAAACAAATAATATATTTCAGATTATACTCATCATCTAAATACAAATTACAGTTTTCTTTTGTCTCAGTCACACAGAGACTTTGTCTAAGATTCCATTCCCCCTCTTGTTCAGTAATTGCAAGGTCCTGTCCTGCTTACCCAGAGACCAGATTTAAAGAAAATCCCTTGGGTTGTGGGTAACTTTATCATTGCCTTTTGTCTTAGAATTTTGAGGATCAATTAGTAGTGTGCCTTTTACAGCCATCTCAAGGCTCCATTAAAAAGATGCTCACTGCATTGCTGTCCCTGCTATTGACAAAGATTCAAACTTCTGCCTTTGATGGGTTAAATACTTGACAGCTTTGTCTCCTGCCAGGACAGATGAAATAACCAGGAGGAGCAAAAGATAAAAAGTATTTTTTACCACCTGAAATGATGCTGACTATGCCGATCATCAGTCCACTGGGCACCCAGTTTACCGAAAGGCCAGAATTAGGAAATGGTATTGCTTACACCAATCCATTTCCATGGTACAGGGACTAATCCATTTCTCACTCTGTATCTAATGTATTGCAGTCCAATGACCCATTAGACATTTTAGGAAGCAAGTCAAAGGACATGGAAACCATAGAAACATTATAGCAAGAAAGAGGCTATTCAGCCCATTGTGTCTGTGCTGGTTGAATTACCTGCCCATTCTAATCCCTCTTTCCATCACTTAATCTTTAGCCTAGCAGTTTGCAGGGCTTCAGGTTCAAATTCAGGTAACTTTTAAAAGAATAGAGGCTTCCTACCTCTACCACCAAACTGGACACGGAATTTCAGGCACCCCCATCCTCTGCGTGAAAGGGTTTTTCCTCATGTCCCCTCTAATCCTTTTATCAATCACTTTAAATCATACAATCGCTGAAGTGTTATGCAGCAGATGGAGGCCATTAAGCCCATCATGTCTGTACCATCTCTCCGAATGAGCATAATGACTTAGTGCCATTCTCCTGACATTGCTTCTATCCAAACAATACCCTTTTAAGTGCCTTTATTGAACCTACTTCCACCACTATTCTAGGCAGTGTTTTTTTTTGTGTGTTTTTTGCACCACACCTTTTCAATCATCAAACATAAAATATTTCAAGCCTGTAGCTATTAGTAGTGGTGCCTGAATTATTTGAATTTGTAAATTTCAATGCCAGTAGTTGTAGGTTTCGTTGGGACGGTTATTTAAAGTAAACAAACTCTTTAGATGCACCTTTTTGGGATGTATCTGTTCTGTCTTGCTGGCGATTCTTTTCACCCTGGTGTTGGATTCTGCAATGTGCTTGACAGCTTACATTCGTCAACTTTAGAGGTTGCACAGTCGAAGATGCTTGACTCATTGGTGTGTAGAAGCAATACCCCTGCATTGTAGCCCATCTGTTCTGATGTCAACGACCAGGCTGTTGTGTACCATTAGAACTTTGCTGCTGTGTAGCCAAGTTCATCAAAATTGATCTGGTTTAAATGTTGCAATAAAGAGAGAATTTTTTTTTCCCCATTTCACATTTGCATCTTTTGCAAACCACTTCTAATCTGTGCCCTCTCATTCCTTATCTTTTAATAAGCGAATAAAGTTTCTCCCTGTCTGCCCTGTTCAGACATCTAACGATTTTGAAAACTTTCATCAAAAACTTTTCCTCTCCAAAGAAAACAGTTCCGGGTTCTCCAATCTGCCTTCGTAACTGAGATTTCTCAACCTTGGAATCATTCTCGTAAACTTCTGCACAGTCTCTAACAATTCGGGTCTTCCTCGTGGCCTATACTTATTCACATGACACATCCCTGGTCTTGTACTCTATGCTTCTATTAAGAAATCCCAGGATTCTGAAAGTATTATTAATGGCTCTCTCCACCTTCTCCCTATTCTGCCACCTTTAAAACCTGTACAGCAATATCTTTCTGCTCTTGCACACCATTACCCTATATTTATAACTGCCCTACTATGTTCTTCCTATGAAAATATTACTCCAATCTTCTCCATATTGAACATCTCATTTATTGCCAGTCCCTAGTGGTCCTCTCAAAGGCAAGTTTTCTGAGAAACAGAAACACAATGCCAAGTATGGATGGGAATTAATCAAAGTCATTGTGAGCAACTGAAGTAGCCAATCATTCTGACATGACTACAGAAATTCAGGATTAACGTTTCACTTACTGGAGAAAAGCATCATTTCAAAGCAGTTGTATAAATCAACCCTTTATGTGACAAGGGGCGTAATTGATTAGAAAAAGAAACACAGACCCTCGTACTTAAAAAAAAAACACTTCCATTGAAAGTCTCTTTTCACGTTCTGAAACCTGTCCAGTAATTGCTTGGAGCTTTCTTGCCAGATAATGGCTGTGGGAAGAGTTGGAACATTAGTTGCATGTACAATGATACTGTAGCACAGTAAGCTTTGCTCTTGAAAGGAGACCTCAACTGGGTTGACAGCTGAAATGCAGCTCTATCTTGATGTTGCCTAATTTGCAGCCTGATTTAGTGGTTTAATTCAGTCACAAAAGGTGGCATGATGGCTTAGTGCTTAGCAATGCTGCCTCACAATGTCAGGGACCTGGGTTTGATTCCAGCCTTGGGTGACTGTTTATGTAGAGTTTGCAAGTTCTCCTCATATCTGTGTGGGTTTCCTCTGGGTGCTCCTGTTTCCTTCCACAGTCCAAAGATGTGCAGGTTGGATGGATTGGCCAGACTAATTTGTCTGTAGTGTGTAGGATAGGTGGCTTAGCCATGGGAAATGTGGGATTATGGGTAGGGGGCTGGGTGGGACGCTGTTCAGAGGATTCATGCAGACACAATGGGGCAAATGGCTTCTTTCCACACTGCCAGGATTCTATGAGCAAAACTCTATTTGCTTTAAAACAGTCTCCTCTTTGTCTATGTTTTGACAGTATTGGTATTAGTGTTTTCTAACAAGTTGTACCTGACGTGTCATTTCAACACAACTCATACTTATACCTCTCCTTTTGCCCAAAAGTTGGCAAGACTACCTTTTTGCTGATTGTTCATTAACTCAGTCTTCTCCCCCAGGTCCAATCCCTACCCACATACATTCATGATTCATCTGATGCCTTACGCCGGTTTCAAAACTTCCAGTTTACCGGGTCCAGCCACCTCCTCTTTACCATGGACGTGCAATCCCTTTACACATCCATTCCCCACCAGGAGGGTCTTAGGGCTCTCCACTGCTTCCTGGAGCAAAGACCTGAACCATCCCCACCAACCACCACCCTACTCCACTTGGCCGAGCTTGTCCTCACCCTCAACAACTTCACTTTCAACTCCTCTCACTTTCTTCAAGTAAGAAGGGTTGCCATAGGTACATGCACGGGCCCGAGTTATGCCTGTCTCTTCATGGGGTACGTGGAACATTCCTTGTTCCAGTCCTATTCCGGGCCCACTGACAACTCTTTCTCCAATACATCGATGATATCATCGGTGCTGTTTCCCTCTCTCGTCTAGAATTGGAAAACTTCATCAGTTTTGCCTCTAATTTCTACGCTGCCTTCACTTTCACCTGGTCTATCTCTGACTCCTCCCTTCCCTTTCTCGACATTTCTGTTTCTATTTCTGGGGATAGACCGGCCACTAATATCCATTACAAACCCACTGACTCCCACAGCTATCTGGACTATACATCCTCACACCCCACTTCCTGTAAAGACTCCATCCCATTCTCTCAGTTCCTCCATCTCCATCGCACATGTTCAGATGAGGCCAACTTCGACAAGGGAGCCTCCGAAATGTCCACCTTCTTCCTTAACCGAGGATTCCCCAGCTCTGTTGTCGACAGAGCCCTCAACCAGGTCCGACCCATCTCCCACACTTCTGCCCTCACCTCTTCTCTTCCCTCCCGCAACAGCAATTGGATTCCCCTTATCCTCACCTACCATCCACATCCAGAAGATCATCAGATGCCATTTCTGCCAACTCCAGCAAGATGCCACCACCAGACACATATTCCCCTCCCCTCCCTTGTCCGCCTTCCGCAGGGACCGTTCCCTCCGGGACACCCTGGTCCACACTTCCTTCACCCCCAACATCTCCCCACAGCCCTACGGCACCTTCCCCTGTAACTGGCAAAGGTGCAACACCTGCCCATTTACCTCCTCCCTCCCCAGTATCTAAGGGCACAAACATACCTTCCAGGTGAAGCAACACTTCACCTGCACTTCCCAGAATCTAGTTTACTGCATTCGCTGCTCAAAATGTGGTCTCCTCTACAATGGGAAACGAAGCGTAGACTTGGTGACCGTTTCACAGAACATCTACGTTTTGCTCGCAAAAAAGACCCTGAACTACCTGTTGCCTGCCACTTCAATGCAACACCCTGCTCCCTGGCCAACATCTCTGTCTCTGGCTTGCTACACTGTTCCAGCGAAGCCCAACGCAAGCTGGAGGAACAGCACCTCATTTTCCGCTTGGGGACCCTACAGTCCTCTGGACTCAATATTGAATTCAATAATTTTAGGCCTAAACTCTCCCATGTCCCAGTCCCTACCCCACTCATCAGGCCTTCTTACAACATAGCCTGCCATTACACACCCCCTGTTGTTAACAACTATTCACCCTCCCTGCCTGATCGTTAGCAACTCCTTTGTCTGTCCAACTGTCTTTCTCTCTCCTTGGGCTCTATCCTATCATTTACTCCCTACCCCACTCACCTCCCTATTTTCTGCATATAAACTGACGTTTTCCCAGCCACCATCAGTTCTGAGGAAGGGTCACTGGATCCGAAATGTTAACTCTGTTTTCTCCTTCACAGATGCTGCCAGACCTGCTGAGCTTTTCCAGCAATTTTTGTTCATTATTTTACTGACTCCGATATGGAGGTGAGATTATTTAGCAGTCACCAGAAGTGCTCATTGTGAAGAAATTTACAGACTGTTGCTGTGCTTTCCCAGATCTTACAATTAGTTTAAAATTTAATACAGCAGTTACTGCAGTTTGTTTACTTGCTTCCTGCTTGGAATGAATTTTGAAGCAACTGATCCAGCCTTTTGCGGTTTCAGTTTTAATAGACGTGGTTGTATTGTGGACTGTGAGTATAAGACAGAAGGTGAGGTGGTTTGTACACTTCTCTCCAATGTTCTCCAGTATCACTTGGCTATTGTTACATTCTGCTTATGGGGACTTACTATGCACAGTTTGGCTGCTGTATTTCCTACAACATCGACCACATTCAAACCCACTTTGTTAGCTATAAACACTTTGCGGGGGAGATGGTGGGGGGCTTTCCTGTGGTTGTGAAAGGTTGCAAATTCAATCATCAAAAAAGGCCATCCAACCTATTATGTCTCTGATATCTCTTCACAAACACAACTCAGGTAGTTTCATTCCTTCCGCCTTTCTTTGTAGCCCTGCTTGAAGGCCACAAGCAAGCACATACCAGATCCTAACAACTTGCTACATTTAAAACAGTGATGCAAGTCACTTTGCAGTTAGCACAGTAACATATCTCATCCTCAACTCGTCATTTGTGCCTGTGATGCTCACAGAATCTTGTTCTACACCACATAGCTACCACATCTCAATGCCAAGCCCAAGCGATTTGCTGCAGCTGACATGTTTGGAGATATAACGGAGAGATACAGTAAGCAGGATCTCATTTATTAACATGGTGACAGGCTCCTGAAAATAGCTTCACTCAACTCAGTAACTTGATTCATCTTCCCACACCACATCCTGAAAAACTACTGAACTGAACAAGCAGCAAAAAGGAAAAGAAGTGATTCATTTAATTCTTGACAACAGCTTAAAGCCATATACAGCCTAAACCGTAATGACATTCTGTTATGATCATCTGTTAGAAAGGACTTGGAGCATTGATTAGTGATGAGCAGACAGAGCTGTTTAGTATAACTTCATTATTCTGCATGCACAATTTTGTACAAATCTGCTTGGTTTGAGGTTTCCTCAGTGAACTCTTCTCAATTTTCCCCACAACTGTCTGGTGCACAGCAAAACTGGGTGACAATGGTGCAACTGAAGAATCAAACAGCTGAATTCAGAGGATGTGTAAATGGCAACAGCAGAATCATTGTCGGCAACTGCTGTTTGAAACCAAACTGGGCAGAGGACACGATTCAAAGATGTTGAATTCAATATTCTGTCCGCAAGATGATACAAAGACCAAGAGCTGTACTTTGAGTGCCTGTGGAAGCACATGTGCAGTATTTGACTGCCTTGTATCCCTTTCACCTATGTCCTGTGAACTGCTCAAGGGACAAAGAGCAAACACCCCTGAATATTGTTCCATCGCGGTTGGACAAAATTATCTTTATAAGAGAAGTCCGAAGAATGTCCAAATGGACAAAACATCGTCTCCTGCATATTTACATAACATCGAAGGATTAAAGACAACTGCCCCACAAGCCTGTCAATATGTAAGAAGAATTATCCGAGAACACAGGGGCAGAACACATTGGAAGATGAGAAAACTCAC